CGAATCCCTGACCTTGTTCTTCCTCGTTTGTGGATTAGCAAAATCAGATACGATTGGTTAGATGGAAAAGATTTTCTAAGGTTTCTTAAACGAGATTTTACAGTGCCCATCATTTCTTAGACTAGATAAATTTCTCCAAATGATGCCACTTCCCTTGTTCATTCCTTTCAGTGATTTAGGTAGGTTCAGTAGCAGAAGCACCACCACTTGATCCCATTTTAACGCGACAAACCTTGAAAGAATTAGTAGAGAACTCCACAAGATTAGTCCCTACTGTCTTTTAATCCCTGCATACTCTTCTGTTTGGTTCCTTTTCTACTGTGTGTGTGGAGTTGTATTGGTTTGAGCAGCTGCAAAAACGATTTCGTTTTCTGATTTGCCTAATAATACTGCTGCTACCGATTACACTACTCATTTATGCCCCAACTTTTTTGTAATAGGATATTGCTATGAGACTACCAGAGGTACTTAAATTTGTTGGTAACCAATTCAACATGTTTTTCTTGCCTTCTACTTTCGTGTTAATAAAGAATAGTGTTTAAGGAATGTCAAGGGATAAGGATGGCAAGTTCTAGCTAGTTTATGTTTTGTCTAGAAAGTTAATTAATGGTCTATCAGAATTACCCTTCTAATCTTGCACCTGTAAGTGAACAAAAATATGTCCAAATTGAAGTCATTTATGCCAAGTACTACAGCTGGTAAGAAAAGAATAGACACATCATATTCATTAAGCACTTTTGATAATTCATGTCTTTGTCATATTTTACAGGTCTCTATAAGAAGCATATTTACAACACTAACCTCTGTGATTCTGCATATTATTGTAGGTTTAAAGAAGTTTTTTCTGCATACTCTCTTCTTCTGCATGTTTTTCTTTGCTTGTTTCTTCTGCTTATGTTTTGCTGTCTTTGCTGCACATTTCTACTTGTGTTTTTCAGCAAACTTTTATGCATATCCATGGAATAAATTCGATTAAAAGAAGCCAACCTAAGGAGCCGTTAAGTGTTTCGAATTCTTCTTGTGCATAAACAAGATAACTAGTTTGGCAACTCTATATTTGGGGCTTTATGCATTTTGTGTGCTTTTAACTTAAATGACTTTTCAAATTCTACTATTACATAAATATGTTAACTGATTTAATTTTTTTTTTTTTGGGTTTGAGGCTTGCTTTTCTTTTCGCTTCCATCCTTCTACCCTGCCTCTAGCTACTTGTGATTGAATTAGAGGTGTTATAAAGGGAAGGACCTACAGCTTGCCAAAGAAAATGCCTTACTGCTAACAAACTACTAGTGGAAAGAGGCGAAGATGACTTAGATTTTGGAATTATGATTGTTATTATAACCATGATTATCTTTCGATTTATACGATGAGTAATTATATAAACAAAAGACTGTATATGCTGATTTGATGTCTTTTTTATTGACTTTGCAGATGGATTGCATCTTTGCGTTAGTGTATGAAGATTACTTGTAGGTAGCGGCCTGTATTGATTTGGCTAATCTTTGTACCGGTCATATTAGGATTGAGAATGAGAAGCCTATTTATATATATATATGTACATAGCATACACTGATGCTTATTTTTCTCAGTATTTTGTAACATCATTAATTCAATTCCAATTAATATATCATTATAATTTTCACAGCTATAGCTATTATGCAAATCTTGTCTTTAATAGCTTCGTTTTAATTTTAAATATGTATGGTAGAAAATGACAATTTATGGCAACTTTCTACTATAGTTGCATTGCATTTTTGTAACCATATGATGGGTCGCTAGAGACATATATTGGTAACCTTTTCACGTTTCTGCAACCATGTGATGGGTTGCTAGAGACATTTATCGGCTACCATTTTATAAGTGTCGCTCATGTTAGTTTTCCAGCAACCATAAAGCATAGTCGTCCAAAACACTCATTGCCTACCATTGTATGATGTTTGGTAAAATTCAATTTCCAGTGACCATGAAAAATGGTTGCCCAAAAAATTTTCTCCGGCGACCATTTACAGTTATTGTCGCTAAGAGGTTTCAGCGACTCGCTTTTGCCGACCATGCCAGCGAGGCTGATATATGGTCGCTCCAATCTTCTTGCGACCATTTTTCAACTTTGGGCAACCATTTTTTATGGTGCAGATAGTGTTTTTTCTTGTAGTGAAGGTGACTTGAATATTTTTACTTGCTATAGCAGGTTTCACAGGTGGCATTACATAAAACACAACAGGTGTTACATAATAGTTACTTAATATATTCTTATCTTACGTAACAGTTGTAAAAGGTCATTACGGAAGTCTTACGTAATGGACAGTCTTCTTACGTAATGAATATACACTATGCATTACGTAAAGTGTTAAGTCATTACGTAATCCTTACTTAACGCTTCAAATATAACTCTTACGTAAGAAATAACTGTTGTTCGTGAACTTTACGTAATGAGTGTGTATTTTACGTAACAGTTGTAATAGTGTCATTACGGAAGCCTTACGTAATAAATGATCATTTTACGTAATGAATACATTTGCGTTACGTAAAGTGATAAGTCATTACGGAAACCTTACGTAATGCTTCCGATTTAACTGCTACATAAGAAATAACTATCATTACGTAACCTTTACGGAATATATGTGTATTGTACGTAATAGTTGTAAAATGTCATTATGGAAGACTTACGTAATGAATGGTCATTTTACGTAATGAAAATTAACATAGTGTTACTTAAAGTGTTAAACCATTACGTAAAACTTTTGATTTAAGTGTTACGTAAGAAACCATTATTGTTCCGTAATCTTTACGTAATAGATATGTAGTTTACGTAACTGATGTAATTAAAAAGGGGAAGAATTTTTTTTAAAAAATATGAAGAAGAAAAAATCAAAGTAAACGTGGATGTGAAAAAGGGAAAAAAAAAAGAAGTTAAAATGGGAAAGCGGTGACCGGCGGTGCTGGGTGCCCGTCTTTCCTTTTTGTTTTTTTTTTTGTTTAATCAATGGCTTAAAATAATTTCAACTTATTTTAACGGTTAAGATCTATACAAGTTACTGTTGGGAATGAATAGTTTTGAAAGCTATATTGAATTAATTATCCAATATTCTTTCTAGATACGAAATTAAGAAGGATACTTAATAAAAAGAATATTATGGAGATAATTAGGATTAATTATCTTAATATAATATATTTTAATTATGAGAGTGATTATTTTCCTAATTAAATATGTGGTTTATTCCCAAAGAAAGAGGGAATATTCTAGGTTTTCTGCTCCTATAAATAGCAAACCCCTAGACCCTCTAGATAGACCTCAGAGAGCAGAAACACGAGAGAGAGTGAGATATTTAATTAGTCGTTGTTTTATCCTGGAGGCGACTGGCTGATAGTCTGATGTGCGCAATACGAGGTAGTGATGCGAACGTCTTCAAGAGAGCGACCTAGTCCGCGACTCAGCCAGATCGGTAACCCTATTTTTCTATTCGATTTCTAACAATCTTAAGACGTTGTGTTGCTGTCATATCTATCGAATAGATTCGATTCGATTACTGTATCTGGCTTCAACAAATTCTGATTCAATTACCTAGACACCTTGAGATAGTCACGATGTGCATGGATGTCGCGGCGTCGGAGAAGCCTTCGGACGAACAGCTCTTTTCCATAATTCGAAAGTGACTGCTGGTCGCTAGCTTCCTTGTTCCCGATTCTTGACATGGCGGAGATACGGCGACCGCTATCGCTGGCTCCACTACTCGCCGATTTAATTATTAATGACAAGTAGTCGAATACTTATCTCTTAATTATTTGATTAAATTCCTTCTCCACTGCGACGTTGTTGTTTTATCTGGCTGCTCTAGTGTTGCAGTCCATTAGGTTAAGTTTTATTTTTCTATGGAGCTAATGGAGTCCGAAGGGAGAAGGAAGCAGGCGAAGTAATTGTATACGGAGCTCCTGATGCCGACACTTGCTCCTATGGCTCTGCTGCCGGCCATAGCAAGAGTACATGGGGAATAAAGAGCAAGCAAAAATCGATTGGAAAACAATACATCTAAATTCATCTAAATTCATAACTAATTAACTAACATCTATCATATCATAATTAATCTAAATATATCATTATATATTTTTCAATAACCACAATTCACTAAATACAGACATATAATTACTAACACATCAACATGTAAACAATACATAATTATAACATACCGACTCCCAATCTATCATGAGAAAACTAAACAAATTCATCTAAATTCATAACTAATTAACTAACATCTATCATATCATAATTAATCTAAATATATAATAACATATTTCCAATAACCGCAATTCACTAAATACAGACATATAAATTACTAACACATCAACATGTAAACATTACATAATTATAACATACCGAATCCCGACGAGTTTCTTGAGCAGTAAACCAACTCCAAACCAGCTGAGAAAACGACTAATAAAACACTAATTTTTGTACTAATTTTCTGTAAGGTAGCAATAGGGGAAGTGGAGGTCAGTATTTATAGAAATTTTTTTTAGCAATCACCGCTTTGGACAAAAACAGTGATGTGTTCACCCGCCATTGTCCTCAGCGGTGATTGCTTGGTAGCTGTGACCTAATCTCCACCTACCAGGGCTCTAAAACGTGTCAATTATCACCGTTTTGGTCCATGGCGATGATAACATCGCTTTTGTCAACGGCGATGATAAGGTCGACTATCACCGTTTTTAACCAAAACGGCAAAACAGTGATGCAATCACCGTTTTGGTCAAAAACGGTGATAGCATCATCGCTTTTGTCCAAGACAGTGATAGCATCACTGTTTTTGTCCAAAGCGATGATGCTATCACCGTTTTGGTCAAAAACGGTGATTGCCATCACTGTCTTGGTTTGCAGCGGTGATAACCAAACTGCTGTATTTTGGGAAATATTTTCATAAGTACTGTATTTTGAGAATTTTTTTTAACAATTAGAGTATTTTGGGATTTTTTCCGAGAATAATAGCAAAGTTTTCGAAACTGATGCTACAAGGCATTTTTTGTTGCAGCGGTAGAGAATAATATTTGGTACACTAAAAGCAAACCCACTAACAAAGTTTTTAAACACAACATATTTTGTCTGAGGAATATAGAATACATGACTACTATACCACCAAAGCCATTACACGGATAAAATGGAAGCAGTCGCACCGGCTCATCATCATTCACTCGAAGACGGATGAATCACGCGGCCCTTGTTCTTTCTGCCGCCGCCGCCGCCTGCCGGTACATCGCGGAGGACCCCGCCGCGGGTCCAGGAGCGCTTGCAGGCTCTGCAGAAGTGGCGGGGCTGGCATAGGTTGTAGTTGTTGAAGTAGCAGAACTTGGTGTCGGTGGACTCGCAGCGCGGGCACCGCAGCCCCGGCTCCGCTTTCTTCTCGTCCTGCTGGCGGCGGCGGTGGGCTTGCTTTCCCATGGCGGATGAGGAATCCAGCAGCGGCGGGTGATCGACCTGGTTAATCTTAGGGTACTGCGTGAAGGGGAAAGAGATGGCGAGTTGGTTTCCTAGCTCTTCCATTTCGTCTTCCTTTCCCACAAGTCTTGCCGCCATCATCGTTTCCTCCTCTTCCTTCTCCTCTCTTGGGTTCTGCAGCTTCTTGTCCATCCTCTCGTTGTTGCCGGGGTTGGAATCTAAGGTAGCCATCTGGGGTTTCAATCTATCTAGCTGACACTTATGTATTAATGCAGTTTGGAGCTGGAGCTGGAGTGGGTTCTGAGAAGTCTCACGATAATGTATATATATGGAGCATTGGGCTAAATGAAGGGGATGGATCGATTTACTTAGCAATTTCTAGGCAAGAAGACTATTGTAATGTTGCAGTGATCAGATTAAGGGATTATAAAAGTGCAATGCTGTGAAGAAACAGCCGGGTACCAGCGCTGTCTTTGGTTTATATGGGTATCGCGCAATATGCTAGTCATTGTTTAATCATTTATAGCTGTGACTTTGACCCAAAACAACAGAAAGCTAATCAAGTTGTTATTAAGAAAGACCTATTAATATAATATAATATTAATATATATAAAGCTGAAGAGCAATTATTGTTGTCCAAAAAGTTGTAAATTAGTCACTATGTAATATTCTACATTTTGATACTTCAAATTTAATTTTCATGTAAAATTATTGAACAATTATGTTTTGGTATTTATATTTTATGAGATTTTTGTAGCTACAATTTTTTAATTTACATATTGGTCCAATGTTTAGATTTTAATTGAATCCATGAATCCAAACCAATCCTTTTGAACTAATCCATGAATCCAATCCACCATAACATAAAAGTATAAATTTAGTTTGTACCATACAAGATGTTGTATCATTTAAGTGCATGAGAAAATTCAACCATTTTATATTTGCTCATTAAATGAAACATTAAATAAAAGACAAAGAGAGATGACTCTAAAATATTGCAAGAGCGAATTTATAAACTCATTTAGTTACATTTACAAAGTACTAAACAAACTTATACTAACTACATGTAACAAAAGATGCGACATCTACATAAGCAAGTGTCAATAAATTGCTACAGTGAAAAAAGTTGACGGTTGTATTGACGGCCAACTAAAAGAATTTGTCAAAACCTTTCCATCATCTATTTCCTCTTCATTTCATTTTTCACTCGCCTTCCCTAATCCTTTCATTATTTTTTTCTTTTCCTTCTTCATCTAACCCTAATTAGTATACTATTTTTATGTATTCTAATCACAAGTATGAACGGGCCCATACACGACTCACCAACAGTCTAGAAAATTAATAATTGAACCATGAGCCACTATCTTTTTCAGCTCAATGTTGAGTCCAATTAAAAATAAATATATATGATTATTACTTATTAGATAGTCATCATTTTAAACCATGGGATTTGAAGGCGTGAAATTTTAAGCGAGTTCCAGTTGTATCCGTTTGCTTTTCTCTAGAGTTTTTCTTTTTCACCCAGGTTAGAATTTTCAACACTTATAGATGGAATATTTGGCTAGGTATCTACACATATTAAATGAATGGTTTTCATTTTTTTATAAAAAATTAATTAATAATTATCATCTTAAATACATCACCATAAAAGAAATTTAGTCTCAACTATGCAAATTATAGTTTCTTACCTAAACTTAATAGATCCTAGATTTATAACCTAAAATTATTTTTTTGGCATATAAGTCCTGAAAATGTTGGTGGAATATTACATTTTAGTACCTAAAAATTTTGTGTATTACATTTTAGTACCTAAACTTTTGAAGTTCTACAAATAGGTCTAATTTTTGTATGTATAATTAAAATACCCTCGAATAAATGGGTATCCGTACCCAACTCATACACATTTAGATTATGGAAGTAAATATCCATACCCTACCCAAACTCATCTACAAATTTCCAAACCCATATATTCGTCACTCATCCCTACCCATAATCAATGGGTCTACTTTGGTTTAGATAAATATCATTTATTAGCCAAAATTTTTAAAAAAATTAAATCGGCTGCCATATATCTCTTCTCAGTCAATATTATATGGTCAAGTCAATAATACTAACAAAGCTGCCAACAAAAAATTAATTTTAGGCTAATAATACTAGCAAAACACCATAACAGACCACATAATACATTCCCACAGACCATATCCGCCCACGACAAGGCGAGTCATCGCCACCTAGTATATGTATACACATTGAGAAAGGCATTAGTAACCTTCCAGTCAGCATCCTTCACATTTTGTGACTATTATCAACATCACCCACCACGGTCAAAGAGCAACAAGAATAATTTCATGATACGCGTTCAATATGCAATACTCGAGTCTCGAGGTAACAAATGGATCGGATTCATGGATTGGTGGTTGGATTGATGGATCCATGAAGACTCGAAGTTGATACGAAGTAAGCTGCCTTCTAGCATAAGCAAGCTGCCAGAAAAACAGCATTTGTAGCAACTTCAAGCATTTTGTTTGAAGCTTTCCAGATATCCAATATGTCATCTAATGTCTTGTCTTTGTAGACAAACATACCTACTTTCACGTCCAAATTTATGGTGGGTTAAAATTATTTGTATTTTTATTTTTCAAAAATCTGCCTCCTTGTATTCAATTAATGGGCTGGAACAATTTAAAGGTCCTTACAAAGAGAGTATCTTAAGAAAAAGGGGTGGGTTCGATATCCACATTTCTTCAGTCTCCCAATTGCAGAAAGTGTGGGACAAAATGCCGGTTGGTCCATTAAAAGGGTGGGCTTTAAAACTATTTTAATAACAAAGCGATTGATATAAAAATAATTTAATTATAAAGGTGATATAAGTTTACTTTTTGTGATTAGATACTACTTAAGTGATTCGAACTTGGGACCTACCAATTCAAGACACTTAAATAAATATCTTTGCATAAAAATTTATTGATAATTACAAAAATTAGCTGTCAATTGTATCTATAGGGTGACGATTATGACTATGATCCACACCTCTTCAAACACCTCTTCAAACACTGTTTAAAAAAGAACCTACTACACTGTTACTAGGACTAGAAGTTTGGTACTAGTATTTGGGATATACCGAATACCAAACCGAATTTATCACTATTTGGCATTACCGAATACCAGCTTATTTTTTAGGGATTGGGATTCATTTTGTAGTGCTATTCGGTATTCGGGATTACGAGATTGGGTTCGGTATATACCGATCGAGATACCGAGAAATACCAAAAATTAAAAATTAATGAAATATAACACACATCCTTTGGTCATTCCTCACTCTTTCACAACTTAAAAGCCTCATCCAACTCAATTTTGATTTTCTAGTTAAAGTCACTCTCGTCTTTCACCTAATATCTTGTTATTTTCATAACACCAAAAGGTAAACAGAGTATTAGTCATCTCGCAACCTCAAATTCATCAGATTAAAGATTACCAATGACAAGAAATTGAGATGTCACATATTTTCATTCTTCTTATCCATATCCTAGCTCTAGGCAAACTCAAGACTCTTTGCTCTAAATTAAACAATCAAATATAATTTATAAATTTATTATTAATGGCAAAGGTAATTAATTTCGTATTCGGTAATACCGATTGAGATACCAAAGTATCGATTGAGATACCGAAATTATTAGGAATTGAGATTGGGATACCGAAATTATGTAGGAATTGGGATTGTGATTGATTTTAGAGTGTGTTTGGTATTCGGGATTTCGGTATTTAGTATTGAGATACTGATATCGTACTGATTTCCACCAATACTGTTACCCTACTCATATGGAGGTTCCACAAGAGTTTCGCAACTACATCTAAAACTACGACTATGGAGGATTCTTCATGGAGGAGAGCTCGGCATACTACAAAGAAAAATGAAAAGAGACAGTTGAGACAAGTTATCTATGTGTTGGATTGTGATTGTCTGTCATGTTCCAATAGCTTTCTTCAAGTTTTGTTGTTGAGAGTCTTCCAACTGTTCTCTCTCTCATCTTGTTGTGGGCGAATGACGGGAATGGAACCCGCACATGGTGGAGTTAGTTGCCGCCAATAGAGCTCTTTGGACACATGACCACATCTTAGCTAGCAACCATTTACCAATTCATCATGTGAAATTAGATGAAAACCATGAGACTAGATGATGCTATCCACTTAGACTCTAGATGTTATCCATGTGGTGGGATGACACCATCCACTAAGGAGTTCGATGGTACCCGACCATGATATGGAATGGTACTATCCATTAAGTGGTTGGATGATATTCATAATATGAGATGTTCACCATCTACTTTGATATTGGATGGTATCCATAGAACTAGACAGACGGAGACAATTATTAATGATCAACTAACTCCTAGCTACTATTCATCAATTATACAGTCTAACCAGACAATCTATTATGTATGAGCTCAACCTTTTAAAATGGTCGATCATCCATAGTAGTTCATGTGGTATTTTACTCGAGAAATTTATTTTGTTGTAAAAAGGAGCCACCTGCCGCTATTTGCTAACAACTCTTTTTGGGGTGAAAAACGGGCGCTAGGGCGCCCTAATCCATATTATTAACTATTTGGGCTTCTTAAATCCCGATAATATCATGGTTTATCTAGAAATACAAAAGTGGCTCCGTATGATCGTAATGGGAGCTTCCGAAAGGGATCGAATGTCCCTTAATAGGAAGAAAATCAGCTACATGGTTATGCTCTTTGTAAACATGACTAATCTTGACCTCACCGAAAGTGTCCATCAGATTCTGAAGCTGACGGATAATAGGGGCTTGCCCATGCCCATTCTCGACCCGATTCTATAACAATTGCATCGCCACCAGGGAGTCCATTGGAATCTCAACTCTAGTAGCTTCCAACCGATGCACTAGGATCATTCCCTCCAGCGCTCCTCTAAGTTCGGCCATCATAATCATGCATTCGCTATAATTTGACATAAAGTTTCCTAGGTTCCTTTCACTATGATCTCTCGCAATTCCTCTAGCTACTGCCATTGATCCTGGGTTAGTGGGTTGTGCACTGACCCGTCTGTGTTGATGGTGATCCATCTCTCCGCTGCTGGTTGCCAGTTCAGCATCACTTCCCTCCTCGTGATCTCCCGTCAAAGAGCGATCCGCTCGTCACTCTTCAGAGCCATCTCCACCGCATCAGTCCAGTAGCGAACACGGGCCACCAAAGTTGTCCCTTTAGTTTGTTTCCCTCCAAAAACAACTTCATTACGACACTTCCAAATAGGGCTGTCAATTTGGTTTGGTTTGGTTAACCAAACCATTAAATACCATAAACCAAAAACCAAAAACCAAATCCCAAAAACCAAAACCAAAATCATTAAGGCCCTTATTGGTTTTTGGTTGCCAAAAACCAATAAGGGCCTTAATGGTTTTGCTTTTGGTTTGGATAACCAAAAAACCAACATGTACTCATACACTCATATTTATTCACATTTCCCTCCTTTTTATTGAATAAACGTCATAATAATGGCCATAACAAATTATTGGTTGGCATGCGTGTCAAAAGAAACAAAAAAAATATTTGTTGATAAATAATTTTATTCTTATTGGTTTCTTAATGGTTTCTATTGGTTTTTCGGTTTTAACCAAACCAAAACCATTAAGTTGCTTATTAGTTTAAAACCAAAAAACTGAAACCATTAGCTTTCCAATTGGTTTGGTTTCGGTTAAAACCAAAAAACCAAAACCAAATGGACAGCCCTACTTCCAAATCTATGACTTGCTAACATCTTTCAAATCAAAACAACAAAACTCATGACAGAAATACAATGTATAAAAAAAATCATGATAATCCAAATCTATGATTGTTCTTTATTTTCAAAATACAAAAATTAGTTATTAGAGGAATTTACAATGTTTTATAGTATTGGTGTTTTGGTTTACAAAAATACTGTACTATTAATGTTATTGCCGAAATTCAATTTGTACTTACACCTTTTTGTAAAAATTCATTAATGGTAAAAGCTGGATAGATACTTTTTATGTTATGGTATAAACTTGTACCATAACATAAAGATACAATCTTCTTCATATTACAAACTAAACTTCTACCGGTAACATTATAACAAACTAAACTTCTACGGTAGCATAAAGCTATAAATTCATTTATGATACAAGCTAAACTTGTAACTTTAACTTTAGCAGTTTAATTTGTACATGAAAACATAGATACTTTTATTAATAATAGTAGAGTGAAAATCGGTACGGTATCGGTATCCCAATATCAAATACCGAAATCCCGAATATCGAATTACACTCTAAAGTCAATCCCAATCCCAATCACTAAATAATTTCGGTATCCCAATCCCTAAATATTTTGGTATCCCGATTGGTACTTTGTATCCTAATCGGTATTATCGAATACAAAATTAATTATCTTTGCAATTAATAATTAAATATATAAATTAGATTTGATTGTTTAATTTAGAGCAAATAGACTAAGCAAAGAGTCTTGAATTTGCCTAGAGGTATGATATGAATAAGGAGAATGGAGGAGAGATCAAACCTGAAATTCTTGTCATTTGTAATCTTTAATTTGACGAATTGGAGGCTGTGAGACGACTAATACTAGTGTGTTGCCTTTTGGTGTTATGAAAATAACAAGAGATTAGGTAAGAGACGAGAGTGACTTAAACTGGAAAGTCAAATTTGAGTTGGATGGGGGCTTCTAAGTTGTGAAAGAGTAAGAAATGACCAAAGGTTGTGTGCTATATTTTATTCATTTTTAATTTTTTGGTGTTTATCGGTATTTCGGTATATACTGATCCCAATCTCGTAATACCGAATACCAAATAGCTCTACAAAATGAATCTCAATTCCAATCCCTAAAAAATAAGTCTGTATTCGATAATATCAAATAGTGATAAATTCGATATGATATTCTGTATATACCAAACTTCCAACTCTAAATAATAGTACTGTTAGATAGAATGATTGGTTTATCAGATTCCGCCAATAAGGACCCTAATAAGTGTTTTTTTTTTTTGTGCGAACAATCATTGGTTAAAATATAAAGCAAGATAGATATGACATAACTAAACGTGTTACTACGAGTTGAGTAAAATTTTAGGGCTAAATTACACGTTTGGTCATTCAAATTATTCAAATCATTCACGTTTGCCATCCGAATTAGCCATTAACTTTACGAATCGTTTCACGGTTGGTCACCGGCCGTTACTCTCCGTTAAGTTTGTCCTACGTGGCAGTCAACTATAAAGTTTGACCGTTAACTAGATGACGTGGAAATTAAAAAATAAAAAAATAAAATTTTCTTTCCACCTCATTATTGCACTTATTTTAATTACAAAAATGGGATGACGACGGCGGTGGAGAAGGGAGATTCTACGGCGGTGATGACGACGCCTTCAGGCTTTCCTTCGGGGACGAATTCCAAGCTTATGGTGACAAGAAGTACGTCTTAGACGACAACAGCGACAAGTTTCCGCCGTCGAGTTGCCGGAGCTGCTGCACTAAATCAAACAGAGTAGGAACGAGAACAGGGGAGAAGGAAGTTGGGAATTTCGCGTTTTTGCCGGCCGAGGGTACGAGAGAGACGGTTGTGGAAATCAGGACTCCAAGGCTGAGATTGGCGAGCACAGAGAAGAAAGCGAGGAGATCGAATTCGAAACGGCAACTGGGCTCAGAAGAAGTTTTTGAAGCGAAGAAAAAACAGGGGAGGAATGCAGAGGCAGAGAGCCCAGAATTCAAGAAGCAGGCGCCGGTTTCAGAATTAGAAGGCGTCGCGTGGGATTCATCCACAAAGGCAGGAAATTTCGAGCTTGCGGCGGAGATTCTCTCGTCGGCCAAGTGGGGCAAAGTGAAAGATACGAGGAAGTCTATGCACATAAGCGGCGAGCCGATGTAGAGAAAACAGAGCAAGCAAGCTGCAGGGAAAGCCAGAGTTAGTTCGTCGAGGACGCCATCCAAGGCCGAACCTTGCAAAATCAGAGCAATTGAAGAGATGAAGATGAGAGCTAAGAGAAAGTCCAACCCGCCCGAGAAATCGGTGGCGGCGGAGGGATTTGATTGTTTGAAGAACTTTGCGGTGGTGAAGAGCTCGTACGATACGCATAATGACTTCAGGGAATCGATGGTTGAGATGATTCAGGAGATGGGGATTCGGAAGGCGGAGGACCTGGAAGAATTGTTGGCTTGCTATTTGATGTTGAACGCTGACGAGTATCATGAACTCATTATCAAGGTGTTCCGTCAGGTCTGGTTCGATGTCAACCACGGCGCCGCAAGTCATTATCGATGATCTTAGCTGACAGGAAATCAACCGAACCAAGTTCGTAGGATGGGAAGAGGAAATCGAAACCCAAAGCAGGAGGAGCTCACTAACCACAAGAGGAAAAATCCCGCGCAATGAAAAGTAGAAAGGGGAACGACAGTGAGAAAAGAAAGGAGCTCATACAGTCGGACAAGCAGAACGCACTGGGAAAACGAGTTGAGGATTCTGGTGACCGGCGCTGCCGAGGCCGTCGTCGTTGACGCGGAAGCAGTCGAAGAAGCAGGCCATGGCCTTGGAAACGGAGAGATCTAGATATCCCAGCAGACTTCGGCAAATGGAACAGATTTCAGGCTACAGCGGTTGTGCCCTTGTTGATTGTTGATTGAACGATGGAGTGGATGGTGAGGGTGAGGATGATGAGCATTTGAATTTGTCCATTTTTGTAATTTATTAAATTTTATATATGATAAATTATATAGACAAAATAAGTGCAATGATGAGGCGGAAAGAATTTTTTTTTAATTTCCACGTCATCCAGTTAACGGTCAAACTTTATAGTTGACTGCCACGTAGGACAAACTTAACGGAGTATAACGGCCGATGACCAACCGTGAAACGATTCGTAAAGTTAGTGGCTAATAAGAAAGAAAAGTAATTCGAGTGGAAAACGTGAAAGATTTGTATAATTTAAGTGACCAAACGTGTAATTTAGCCAAAATTTTAGCAGACAACGGGCCAGAGGCCCAAATAACCATACCCAAGACAAAATCAATAAAGAAAACATGCTTAGTTGAGTTCCAAGCCCAACAAAACCAAGATTCATGTATCAACATTAATGTTTTGGGTATGCCTACTATGACATGCATGTCACCGTGACATGGACTTTTCGGTCGACCTATTACTGAAGGCGGTCGACCGAATTGACTAATTTGGGCAGCACGCGAAAGCACTGCGGTCGACCTCAACGACCACCTGGTCGACCGCAATGCTTTTAAGTTGTTATTTTTGGTCGACCAGAATAAAACCTCGGTCGGCCATTTCGTTGGCGTCAGAAACAACATGGTCGACCACCTAAGGTATATCGGTCGACCACTTGATGGCAGTCATTAACAAAATGGTCGACCAGATAAGGAAAGAGGTCGACCGGATAGAAGATAAGTGTTCTATAGAAGTGTCCAATCATTTGACGTAAAATGAAGATCAAGTGTTGGTTTCGAGGTCGACATAATTCGGTACGAGGTCGACCGAATACAATAAAGTCAACCTATGCCTTGTGTCTTTTTTGCTTATGTATGTCTTTTTTGCTCTCACAGAAGACCAGATCTTACAGCTACAAGAGGGAGGTCAAGCAACTGTCAGATTGTAGAATGGCACGTCTTATCATCGAGAAAACAAATGAAGAATGGAAGGGCTTGCCACAAGAGATAAATGACTGTGGTAACAGGAGCGACGGCGGCTAGGTCAAGGAGGTACGCGTTGCTGGCGTATAGCTGTGTCTGAGTTGTCGATGTGGGTGGCGATGGCAGTCACCTGGTCGGTGTAGGCGCGACGGCGAATTGGGGTTGCTCTAGGCGGGGCTCCGGTTTGTGAATTGGGAATTTTCGAAGAAGAAGGGATGAAGGTGGGAATTGGAGGAAAATTAGAAAAAAAAATATTTTTAGTTTTTTTTTTAATTTCAAAATTTAATTATTTTTAAAAATTAGAATGATGTGGAAATGATATTGATGACTTGTTGCTGACGTGTGAAATGATTTGGCATCCTAGTCAGCCTAACGTTAACTTAAATAGCGGAGTTTCTAACACTGTTAAAGTTTGTAACGGAAATGGCTATATTTGTCATGGAATTTTCAAAATTCTGGCTATTTTGGTATTTCGTCAAAAGTGGCTATTATTGTCACAAACACCAAAGTTTTGGTTATACATATGCATTTTCCCTAAATTAATTAATAACATGTTTGTATATTTTTATGGGAGTCTAAATATTTTTAAAAACAATTTGAAAAAGTTAGGTGAAATGCATCTTTCATGTAGGTTATTTTCGATTGTCAGAAGTCCCATCGTATAAGAGTGGCGGATCGATTTCAACAAACCAATATAGGTAAAATGCTGATATATTTGTATGGACTTCGGTAATTTGGATAGATCACTGTGATCTTGAGCTATCTACTTCCTAGATCATTGAGCTATACGATATCTATTTACGGGCTAAGATCAGGTGACTAGGGGTGTTTTAGTCACATGACAAAGTAAATCTCAGCCCTTCCACCTTATTAAAATCCAATGGCTGAGATTAATTCAATTTAATGAAGGACAATGTAGTAATTAAATAAGTTATTTATTTTAATAATTAAAATAAAACAAAAAATATGTTGGGCCCACGTGGTTTGGGGAAATGGCGGCCGGAATTGTCCACTGTAGTGGTTGGGGGAGGATTTTTGTATGCAGATTGTTTGGCTCACTATGAGAGAGAGAGAGGTCGGAAATTATTTTTTCCGACGGAGAAGAATTTTCCGGTGACAGTGCTTTGTGATGTTTGTTGACATATTTTGTAATGTTTTTACGTTTTGTTATTTTGTAATGTTTGTAAACTTTGTTATTTTTGTGCACCATGTTTATCATTTTTGGCAACCATGTTTGTAATGTTTTTTATGTATAAAAAACAACCTAGTTGACTTTTGGATGGAACTCCTCTATATAGGGATGGAGCCTCCAAAGTCAACCCGGGTGTTTTTTCCAGTTCGTATGGATTGTCGGTCTAGTTTGTCATTTTTGTCCACCATGTTCGCAATGTTTGTATGTCTAAAAAACAACCGGGTTGACTTTGAGACAGAGCCCTCTATATCGGGATGAAGCCTCCAAAGTCAACCCAGGTGTTTTTCCAGTTTGTATGAATTTTTGGTCTAGTTTGTCATTTTTGTCCACCATGTTTGTATGTCTAAAAAACACCCGGGGTGACTTTGGGAAGGAGCCCCTCTATATAAGGATGGAGCCTCCAAAGTCAACCCGGTTGTTTTTTATTTTTGTATGTTTGTATTGTTTGTCGGTCTAGTTTGTATTGTTTGTACAGTTCATACGTTTGTAATGTTTGTGAATCTGTTTGTATGTTTTGTCACTCTAGTTTGTACTGTTCGTATGTTTGTATGGTGTGTACTGATTGTAAATCCAGGTTTGTATACTTCGTAATTTTCCATAATACCCAAACTATCCCTATCATTAATTAAATAGCTCTTCCCACTTTTTAACTATTGGATTGAAGTGTCCAGATCTAATGGCTAGGAGGGGCTTAGTCAAGTGACTAAGGACCCCCCCTTAGTCATGGGATCCGCTCTCCTATTTAGGCCAAAGTTATGTGTGTTGAGCACGTTTAACTTCGACGTTCTCATAAGTACTCCTCAATTTCACTCTAAAACGGGTCTTGTCAGTTAAGATCGATTTCTTACTTATAAACCATCGATATCTCTCGTGATTTGTAGATATGAGTTTCGCGTAAAGTCTTTTACTTTTTAACAATTTTGGTATGTTGCAAAAACACACAAACATCCAAAAGCGAAAGGCGTAATCTGAGAATTATTGTATGTTAACGTGGATAGACTAATTAATATGAAATATTGACGTGACTTAGCTCAAAATCCGAAAGTCTTTAAATATATTTCTAGCGGAAGTCTTTAAATATTTTGAAAGACAACTTGAAACGGGAGGTGACATGCATCTTTCATCTAAGTCTTCACTAATTATGTATTTTAAGACTCGGCTAGAACTTGTCGATCCTTAATTAAATCACCCTCCATGGTCAAGGAATGAACAGCTTATAAACTACGCCTCAATTAGTTGCTTCTCATCCATATCTGCCTAGCATATCTCAGTTCCATTTCCTATCTTGAGAGATTCAATTGTGAGTTTGAGGATGGGATTCCCAAAGTATGTTTTGTTGAAGTCCATGTACAACAACAAGTACCTGCGCTGCATCAACGAATCAGGGAAGCAACAGGGGTTCCTGCAGTTCTCCGGCGACGATGCTGCCAGCCTCGATTCGAGGTTCGAAATCATCACAACATCCAGCGGACTCATTCACCTCAAGTGCTGTTCTAATAACAAGTACTGGCAGAGATCGTCGCCGAGCCACTGGTGGATCCGGTGCGGCCCTGCTGCCAGCCCTGTAAAAACCCAATCGAATTGGTCCTGTACGCTGTTCGAGCCCGTCCCTGTGGACGGTCTCGACGGGGCGTTCCGGTTTCGACACGTCGAATTGAAGCAGTACGCCGGCTCATTCAACAGCGGGCCACCTTTCGGCGACTGCTTGTACGCAGGATCTGAAGATCCCAACGAAGAGGACCTGCACGATGTCTTCGTGGTCATCGACGCAACATCGTCCAAGAAACCGCCTAGGAAAAATGTTACCACCACATTGCCGAGCTTTGTAGCAATCAAATCAAGGTACAATCACAAGTATGTCCGGTACAGGGGTGGTCACGGCGACGAACAAGAGGGTTTCCTCCAGGTTTCGGAGGAGAACCCTACCGCAATTGGCGGGTATGCGAAATTCGAGGTGGTCAGGGTCAAGAACGATGGTGAATTGGTGCACCTGAAGTGCTGCTCCAACAGCAAATACTGGAGGAGTTCGTCCGAAGGACGGTGGTGGATTAGCGGGTCGGCTGCGAAACTAAAGGAGAATTCGTCCGACTGGGCGTGCACGCTGTTCAAGCCTGTCTATGTCGACGGTGACGGCGATGGTACGTCGGTCCGGCTCCTGCACGTTCAGCTTGGACGGTATGCTTGCTTGTTCAGGAGCAATTCGGCGTTCGGTGGCTGCTTGTACGCGGCCTCTGACGATCCCAGTTCGGACCTGGCCGACGTGTTTACATTCGTCGATTGGGAATCGTTGGAACCCAAAGAAGAAGAAGACACTGATGGTGGAGAATCAGGGGAAGAAGAAGAAGAAGAAAATGTTGCTCCACCGAAACGACCAACGCCCTCCAGCAAAGGAAACCATAGCAGCGGGAAGGGAACCTGGGAAGAGAAACAAACTAAGCCTGGCGGCCAAACTGAGAGAAACCCAAAAACCCGTCCTCCTGGTGGGACTCCGTCCGGTCGATTCGAACCCAAAGAAGACGACTCTGATGGTGGAGATTCAGGGGAAGAAGAAAATGTTGCTCCGCCGAAAAGACCAGCGCCTTCCAGCAAAGGAAGCCATAGCAGCGGGAAGGGATATGGGGAGGAGAAACCGAGTAAGCCTGGTGGCGAGCGTGAGAGAGAACCAAAATCCGGTCCTCCTCGTGGGACTCGCTCCGGTCGGTTCGAACCCAAAGAAGAAGGCTCTGATGGCGGAGATGCAGGGGAAGAAGAAAATGTTGCTCCACCAAAAAGACCACCGCCCCCCAACAAAGGAAGCCAGAGCAACAAGAAGCGGTTCTCGGAGGAAAAACCGACTAAGCCTCGCCGCCAGCGCGAGAGAGAACAAAACAAATCCCGCCCTCGTGGGGCTCGATCCGATCAGGCAGGCGATACAGAGGAGGGAGATCCGAAGGCCGTCTCAGACGGGGAAGATCGAGACGGTCCTACACCTCAAGAGAAGAGACGAGAAGACAAAGAAGTGCGCGGTGAATATGGATCGGATGGAGAGGATGGCAGGAGCAATCCGAACAGACAAAAGTGGAAAGAAGGTTCAGAGGCAGAGCAGAGGCAGGGGATTACCAAGGCGAAAGGGAGGTAACTAGTGCCATCCTGAAAAGAAAAAAAAAACTGATAGAATTGGTTTAATCTGATGATGATATGCTCTAACTCCCTGTCTGTCTGTTTGTTTTGCTCGCTCTCTTTGCAGTTACGAAATGGAGTTTACCATGGTGCCTCCTGCAAATGAATTATGGGGAGCTTTATTTGCCTCCATGGAAACGATCCCCCCAGCTGTCCCCGATTGGTACTCTTCGATTAAAGAAGTTAAAGGCAATGGGTTCACTGAACACTCTATTCGTAAAATCGATTTCGTTAGAGGTAAACAGGCTCGATCGATCGTTCGTTCGATCGATCCATCGTTCGGTCATACAGTATTTAATTATCTGTTTTGGTGTCGTTATTAAGTTGTTACTCATGTTTGTTTCACAGGCAAGGTGACACAATGGGGAAATTGGGAGGAGCAGATCATGGCTGTGAATCACAAGAAGAAGCAGTTGAAGTTGTCCGTCGTTCGTGGCGGCCCCCTGAATCAATGTCGTACCTTCAAGATCACTACGGCCGTCAAACCCTTACTCGAAGAAGAGCCCATGTACAGTGGCTGCGTGGTGAAATGGAAGTGTGAATATACGAACTCAAGGGACTTGAATATTAAAGCAATGCACATATTGGTTCTCGCCACCTTCAGGAATTTGGAACTCGAACTACTCTCGTCGGCTTCAAGACAACAACGTTGATTCCTAACCTAGCAGCAGGCTTTTTTTTTATTTTGTTTTTTGTTTTTTTTTTTTCCTACCATTTTGATTATTTTGGAAACTTAAATATGTGTGTTCTTGTTTTCTAAAATCCCCTTTGTCTGGTTTATGTTTGAACTTTCAAGGCTATCAAAATAAATAACCCCCTTGTCGTGTTTGAAGGGGTTGTTTGATACGTGTGTATCTGAATGGTGTATTTAGTGAATAATGCATTCATTGTATACAATCTATTGTTTTTTTTTTTCTCATAATTGCGATATTAGCAAGGTTGTCAACCCGCGGGTTGACCCAGACCCGGCGGAGCTAGTGGGTCAAGGGTTAATGGGTCACTCGGTTTAGCCCGAAAAATATGGAAATAGTCATTATATTGTACTTATCCTGATAAATTATATCAAATCTCATCTAACATATGAGTTATAACATATAATATTCCACCAAAATAACATGTCGTACTTAGATCCATCATATATTGAAAATTTACACACACTTATATAACATATATATTCAAATATTTAACTTAGGATTCCAAAGATAGAGTTAGGCGAAAAGAAAAATCGGAAAATAGGCGCATTTTGCAAATCAAAGAAAAAATGACACAATTTGACCTCCAACCCAATACCTTGTAGCGATCGACCCGACGGTTGCATGCGGCCCGTTTTTCTCACCGGGTCAGGGTTAAAGTGGGTCAACCCGCGGGTCGACCCGCGGGTTGACAACCTTCGATATTAGTTTCTGGCCAATTTGTTGAAATTGTGTGTGTGTTTTTTTTTTTAATTCTGTACCAATTTTCTTTTCATTGCTGTTCTTATCAACTCAATGACTGGTTGGGTTTTTAAGCAATGGTAAATATTACTTTTCCTTTAAAATTTGACTTTCCTAGTTTATTACTAAACTAAAATCACATTCACCAATCGTTAGAATTTTTTTTTTGGTGGTTAAATGAAGAAACTAATTGTGTATAAAACTTTATTTATTTATTAATGATTTTTTTAAATTAAATAATTTACAAATACCAGAGTAAATACCTCCATAAAGTTTACTTAGTGTCTTAATCATTACAAATAGTTTACACAATATATTTATTTAGCTAATACATTATATATAACTATTTGTCCATAAACTTTATGTAATTGTTATATAATTTTATTACTTAAATATTTCATAATTTTTGGTCTAATAAGAAAATCAAGTTACAAAAAAGTAACACATTTGATTAAACTGTTATGTAAATGTTAACTTACTTAGCAGAACCTATGTGTAATACAAACCGATGGAATGATTAATATTGTAGATAATAATATAGTATTTTAGTTCATAATAAAAGAATTAAATTACGAAAAGTAAGACATTTGATTAAAATTAAAATGTTACGAAAAGTAGTGTACATTGATGAGATGATCAAAATTTTAATTAACAATAAAGGAATTTCTCATCAAACTTATATTACCAAAAATTAACATAACATGTTTGTTTAATTTGATGCATGAGAAATGACTGTCCATCGGTAAACTTTGCATAGTATATTAATCATTACAGAAACTTACATTATACGTTTTTTTTGAATTGATACATAAAAAATAACTCTCCCTCCATAATTTTTATATAATGTATGATGTATCTCTAATATATGTAATTGTTGTACAACGGTGTGGCGTAAAGCTTTCATAATTAGTGGTCTGATAACAAAATCAACTTCTGGAAAGTATCATATTAGGATTAAACTGTTATGTAATAGTTAACTTACATTAAGAAACCTTTGCATAATGTGAATTGATGGCGTATTGCAGTTAATAGCAAATGAATTAAGTTATGAAAAATATCATGTTTGCTTAAAATATTATATAAAAAATAACCGATCTTATAGAATATTTGTGTAACACAAATTGATTGGGCAATAATTTAGTCAATAATAAAGGAAATTCTGTTCAACATTACAATCCCTCCGTGAACGAATTCATTTGTTTAATTAAAAATAATTAAAATGGAAAGAGTAGGGGAATAAGATCATTCTTCTAGCCTGTTTACCTTCTAAAAACATGAGGCAAACCGTTAAATGAGAAAAAGGTGATAGAAAAAGTACTTAGGATTAATATTGTGTTAGCTGCCACAGCGGAGTATGTGCTCATGTGAACAGTAAACCGGAATTAATATAAACTTTCGTGAGGAACAGTAAAAAAAATTAAAAGTTAACTAGCACTATTAATAATATAACAATTTGTTCTACTTTTTTATTGTAAAAAGCGATTTGGAATTATGAAAAATATTGTTTTTTTTTTGAATTGAAATCCTCTTTTGAATACTTGATAGCAAATCAATTTTTCAATAGAAAATTTAGATCAATTATCATTATGTGTTCTTATAATTGAATAATTTTCTGATGCAAATATATCTTATGAATTCTATCTCGATATAAATAATCTGAGAATGCTATATTTAGTTCTCTTATATCATGGTGATATTGTCTAATTTTCCATATTAAATCTCCTTTTAATTCTCTAATATTATACTGTAGATATTTCATATTAGTTACATTTATTAATTCTAATTTTCTTCCTATAATCTTATGCTATTTTCTACATTTTTTATGAATGTTGTAGCTTTTATAGTTCATTTATTATTTGGTTACATTCCGTCTCTTTTCGTTAATCATATGTTATTTTCTACATTTTTTACGGAATGTTGTAGCCTTTATAGTTTCTTTAGTACTTGGTTACTTTCCGTCTATTTTTGTTCTAAATATATTTTCAATTACTAGAATATATAATATTCCTTATGATTGTGTTGCATTTATCTTTCTTTTGGTTTTGATGTACTGATGATCGATTAAGTTCTATTTTAATTATTCTAATGGTGTTTCTAATTGAACTAAGTTGTTTAAATAGATATTCTAATATTAATTTTAAATATTTATTATTATATTATATTCTATTGTATTTACTATTTTCTTAATATTCGTTTAATATTTTTACTAATTTATCTATTTTGGGTACCAAAAATAATTATAAAAGTTTGGGTTGGATGAAAAAGTAGAGAGATGCACATTTTGTCGACTTTAATGGTACCCGACGCCCTGTTCAAACTTAAGTGGTATGTCTACCTTACTTCTCAAACTTAAGTGGTACACGAGGTATTTTACCCCCAAGATTGATAAAAAATTGTACTTTAGTGATACCCCATTAATGTTACACGAGTATAGAGAGAATGATCAATCATCTATACCAGGATGCCGATCATCGAGGGACCATACCCCATTGTATTTGTAATATGTTTCTTGTATTGTAAATATTGATAATTTTACTGGTACTATCGTTTGTATACAATATGATTTGTATACTATTGAGATCAAAATTGGTAATTGTGTCTAATTAAGACTAAGAGAGTTTACCTTGATTAGTAATTTTGTCCAATTTGTGGATCAAAATTGGTTTATATGAAATTCCAATAATAATAGAGAGAAATAACTTAAGTGGTATGTCTACCTTAATTCTCAAACTTAAGTGGTACACGAGATATTTTACCCCCAAGATTGATAAGAAATTGTCCTTTAGTGATACCCCATTAATGTTACACGAGTATAGAGAGAATGATCAATCATCTATATCAGGATGCCGATCATCGAGGGACCATACCCCATTGTATTTGTAATATGTTTCCTGTATTGTAAATATTGATAATTTTACTGGTACTATCGTTTGTATGCAGTATGATTTGTATACTATTGAGATCAAAATTGGTAATTCTGTCTAATTAAGACTAAGAGAGTTTACCTTGGTTAGTAATTTTGTCCAATTTGTGGATCAAAATTGGTTTATATGAAATTCAAATAATAATAGAGAGAAATAACTTAAGTGATATGTCTATCTTAATTCTTAAACTTAAGTGATACACGAGGTATTTTACCCCCAAGATTGATAAGTAATTGTCCTTTAGTGATACCCCATTAATGTTACACGAGTATAGAGAGAATGATCAATCATCTATACCAGGATGCCGATCATCGAGGGACCATACCCCATTGTATTTGTAATATGTTTCCTGTATTGTAAATATTGATAATTTTACTGGTACTATCGTTTGTATACAGTATGATTTGTATACTATTGAGATCAAAATTGGTAATTCTGTCTAATTAAGACTAAGAGAGTTTACCTTGGTTCGTAATTTTGTCCAATTTGTGGATCAAAATTGGTTTATATGAAATTCAAATAATCATAGAGAGAAATAACTTAAGTGGTATGTCTACCTTAATTCTCAAACTTAAGTGGTACACGAGGTATTTTACCCCCAAGATTGATAAGAAATTGTCCTTTAGTGATACCCCATTAATGTTACACGAGTATAGAGAGAATGATCAATCATCTATACCAGGATGCCGATCATCGAGGGACCATACCCCATTGTATTTGTAATATGTTTCCTGTATTGTAAATATTGATAATTTTACTGGTACTATCGTTTGTATACAGTATGATTTGTATACTATTGAGATCAAAATTGGTAATTCTGTCTAATTAAGACTAAGAGAGTTTACCTTGGTTAGTAATTTTGTCCAATTTGTGTACCAAACTCTTTTTTGCTCTCTTGGTATTTAGTTGCTAGACCAAGTCCTTATACATTTTAGTATTGTTTCTTTTATTTCTGTCCTTTATGTCTATAATTGTGCTTACTAATATAACTAAAGACGCATCACCCACCTTTTTATTTGATTTGTTGAAACACGAACGAATTATGTGCAAATTGCAAAAGTTTTCGAAATTAAGAAAGAAAATTCAACTCTTACCATTCCATACAAGTATGTGACAGTTCATCTTACTTTGAATTAATTAATCCTAACCATATATATTAGTTTGTTTTGCATTGAGTCAAAGTCATTGTGAATAATTAAACAACGACTAGCAACAATATTGTAAACAGTGTCTTTCTTTAATCTTATTTGATGAATGAATAATTAGGGAGAGCCAATTTTTTTAATTATAAGGGAGCCTTGACGTTCTTCTTGAGAAGTTTTCCGAAGCAAAACTTTGCTCAACAACCGATGTAACCTCGAGTTAAGGGAAAAATACCATAACCAAAATAGGAATAAGGACTCAACCAATATATATTGTCATTAAATCAACAAATAAAACAATTTTTTGAATACTCCAGGTTCCATAAATCTAAACAACAGATCGTAACAGTCACTCATAGTTGAAGTGAAGAAACACGCAAAAACATCAGAGTAAG